CCCGCCAGGCCAAAAACCTCAAGAAAAAAGTAAGAAAAGATTAACAAAAATACCACATGGCAGGCTGGAACGTCCGCTGCAGGCCGCAGCGACAAGACAAGTGCGCACCGCGCACGATGGAGCAAATGAGCAGGTGGAAAGCGGCGTCCAAAAACGAGGTTGGAAAGGAACGCGCAAGGAACGCGCAAGGAACGCGCCTTAACGTGCTGAAGGCCAGCCTATTTATAGGCGGACGACAGCACCACAAATTAACATAATTAACTTACTAAAAGAATCCTAAAATATATTAACAAAAGATCCTTCAACTAAAGTTTATAAGAAAACAAAGAAAAGAAATGGACAAAAATCATAATGTGCCCGAAGCACATAACACCATGTCTTTCGGTTGTGCTGTTCTTTTTTCATCTCGTTACAGGTGATGAAGCAGAATGAAAATGTTTTGTCATTGTCTCCTTTCCATCTTCTCTTTCTTTCATCTTTTCTCTTTTTTTTCTTTTTCCCTTTTTCTTCTTCTGTTTTTCTGCTCTATTTACATTGCAGTGTCCATATAAAATGTAAAACTCCCTGCATAATTATAATAAAGCAATTTATATGCATGAAACAAGCAATTGCCATACTGCTACACTTGTGAAAGTAAAATCTGTTGGGCTCTTTTTGGCATCAAGACAATTATTCTTATTGCCACATTGCTAGACAGGACACTGTAAAAAAAAAAAAAAAAAAAAAAAGGAATACTTGTAGGACAAGATATGACCATGATTATCAACAAGATGAATAGCCTTTTTTCCATCATTAATACTGGAGTGATAGATCCTATACCAGCTGGAATAATGATAAGCAAGCATGAAGCAACAGTAGAGAGAAAAAACACTGTTGAAAAAACACAAAGAGACTCTATCGAACCCTATTACAAACATGATAAATTCATCCTTCGAACAAGCATTATATCCAGCAGTATGGAAACCAGCTATTGTGACGCCAGTCTTCAAATCAGGAGATTCAAATGAGGTGGCAAACTACAGGCCAATCAGCATCCTCCCTGTAGTTTCAAAGATTGCGGAGAGGTGTGTAGCAGATCAACTAATGTCACACCTGAACAGTTCTTCATTTAAGCTACATCCTATGCAGTTTGGCTTTCGTGCCAATCATTCCACGGAAACTGCTACCTGTTACTTTATTGAAACTGTAAAAACTAAAATGGACAAGGGGGGAGTAGTTGGAGCTGTATTCCTGGACTTGAAAAAGGCGTTTGACACCATCAGCCACGATGTTCTCCTCACAAAATTAACACTCTTTAATTTCTCTCCTGATGCTATAAATTGGATCAAATCATATTTACAAAACAGATCACAAGCTGTTAGAGTCAATAATGAACAGTCATCTTACATGAGAAATAATGTGGGCCTGCCGCAAGGATCAATACTGGCCCCTCTTCTGTTCAGTTTGTATATAAATGACTTACCCTCTGTGTGCAAAGGATGTGAGATACAAATGTATGCAGACGATACTGTAATTTATGTACATGGTAAGACCAAGGAAGAAGTAGCCAAAAAACTCTCTGAAACCATGCTACATGTATCAAAATGGCTCCACAACTCATGCTTACATTTAAATGTTAAAAAAAAACTGTATCTATGTTCTTTACAAAAAGAGTATCAAACTGCTCAGACCCAGATGTGTTTGTTGCAGGCCAGTCCATCACAGTAGTGTCAGAGTATAAATATCTTGGACTCATTCTGGATTCAAGTTTCACATTTAAAAAACATGTAAAGAAAGTCACTCAAACAGTCAAACTCAACCTTGTAAACTTCAGATACATAAGAAATAATCTGAACACAGATGCAGCAAAATTGTTTTTTAATGCAATGATTATGCCTCATTTAACATACTGTCTTAGCAGCTGGTCACAGGGCTGTAAAACAACATTAAAACCAATCCAGTCTGTCTACAAGCAGGCTCTAAAGGTTTTGGACAGGAAACCCTTTCGTTTTCATCATTGTAGTATACTGGACAAACATGTCCTGTTAAACTGGGAAAATTTAGTTACATTTCATGATGCAAATCTGGTCTTTAAAATTTTACATGGCTTTGCTCCACCACCACTTACTGCTTTTTTCACACAAGGTAGCAGACTCACCAGATCTGTCTCTTCAAATAACCTTACAGTCCCACTGAGAAAAAGCTCATTTGGTCAGTCAGCCTTCTCAGTGCGAGCAGCTCAGTCCTGGAACACCATTCCAACTCATATACGCAATGCAGACACATACAGAACTTTCAAAAACATGTTAAAAGCATGGTTACAGGAGAATCGAACCTGTAATCATAATCAATAACTTCTGTCTGCCTGTCTGATGCACTTTTATCAATGCTTTTTAAATCTTATATTTATAATAACGTCTTTGTTTTTTACAGATCAATGTCCAACTTTTATGTAGATTACTACCTATGTATTTTATTGTTTGCACTAATTTTTAATGTTGTTGTTTTTATTATGTTGGCATTTTAAACCTTGCCCAGGGACTACAGTTGAAAATTAGCTACTTAGCTAACACTGGCTCATTTACAGAAATGTTTATTAATGTGCACTGTCCCTGTTCAAATAAACACATAAATAAAAATAAAATAAATAAAATAAAAATTCCCTTTCTGAAGAAATCACTGTTAGAACCAGGTTCATCATGGCAGTCTTCTGGCCGACCAGCTGGAATGCCTCTAGAATGCATAATGACTCCTGAGGAATCATTCCAATGGGGGTGAGGGCACCAGCTGAATAGTGAAGAGGCCAGATGGAACTTGGCCACAATGAGGGAGAAGGGGATGGAGATTTGTTTCAGGGTCACCTTAGTTAAAATCTTACATGTGAGCCAACTGTGCAGGATTTTGGTTTGGTAGCAGGCTGAGGTGTGGGATCTAAACTCTTTTAAACTGGACTCTAAATGCTGATTGGACTTGAAGGAGATGTAGTCCAATGCGGATTGGTTTGCTTTAAGAAGGTGAGTCTCATAAAATGTTGGTAGGTGATTCTGTTTATTCAGTGAACTTCCACCTAGGCTTCACTTGGGGATTAATTTAGTTCTTTATAATATAAGGACAACAATCACTGATTGACAGCAAGAGGAAGTTACTCTAACATTGCTTAGAATTAGGAATTAAACTTTGCTTTTGCTTTGTTTCTGAAATGTGAAAACAATGAACCATATTACACAGTGCAATGACATATAAAATGCAAATATATTTTAGTTCCTAGACAATACCTTTTATCCTTTAAAAGTGCTTCTGCAAATGGCACATAGAAATATTCAGTTTTGCAGACAGACGCAAAAACCTTTTGGTCATATGCACATAGGTAAGTAGACATCCCGCTTTTACAGTAAAGCTGCATTTAAACAGAACAGATGATTTTTGGATTATTTACTGGCTGGTTGAAGTTAATAAATTGCTGGATTTAAAACAATTATTTACCTTAGATTCAGATTAATTCAGTAAGAAATTATAAGGCTAAACTTGCTTAGCTACTTCAGTCTTAAACAGTTGACGCAAAATAGTTTACACGGGTTAATTTTTATTGAGTTTCTTTAAGGTTTTACATCATATAAGTGTTAAATAAATTAAAAAAGTCAACTATATAAAAAAAAAAAAACAGCTATCAAGGACGTTTTTAATTGACTTTATATCATCTGTGTAGTATGAGAGATGAAGAAGGGCTGTCTAAATCTTGTGGCAGCTCTGTTTGAGAATATGCTGACAGTCAACATGCTACTGATGGTCTTTCTTCCAGGTGAGCTGTATGTTCACTCTCTTGGATTTTTTGTTTCATGAACTGCAGGAAGATTCTGCTCCACATTAGGTTTACCATTTGTTTGTCTTTTTACAGGTGTTTTGGCAGATTGCATTGGAAATATCCCACTCATCTCTATTACTACACCCGTCCCAAATGAGGCACTGAGTGGGTCTTGTTTGCAAGTGCCTTGTAGTTTTAACAAAGAAAATTCATTTTAAATTAATGGAGAAATTTCTGGAGTGTGGATTAAAAGTCCTAAATATATCTTCGACACTAACAATGGAGTTAACAAATATCCAATAGAAATTATTGGAAACCTAAATCAAAAAAACTGCACTACTCTGTTTTCTAATGTGAACACAAGTAATGAAGGGACTTACTTCTTCAGAATTGAAACAACAGACGACAGGGCAACAGCTTGTGCTGTCCCTCTTACGATAACAGTAAGAGGTAAGAAATTTACCATTAACACTTCATCAGCTCCAAATTAAGATTGTGACAGAAAAAAACGTGGAGGATGGGTGAATAATGAATGGGTGGATGGCAGATGTATGTATGTATGTATGTATGTATGTATGTATGTATGTATGTATGTATGTATGTATGTATGTATGTATGTATGTATGTATGATGATGGATGGATGGATGGTGGAGGGATGGATGGATGGATGGATGGATGGATGGATCAAGGAATGCCTTAAGCTGCATCAGTGATTATCCTTCACAAGCAGCAAAATTGAATTTAGAAATTTAGTTTATAAATCTAGCTATGTAGAGTTGTGTTTTATCAGTACTGCTTATTACACATTTTTCTGCTAAATTTTTATTTTACATAGAAAGACAAAAAAATGGGTTTTCTCTACGCAGATGGCTTTGAACTAGCAGACCTATTTTTTTTTACTCTTTTTAACCCTTTTATTTTCTTTACAAAACACAACGGTAAAGCTTAGCCAACATCTTACCCAAGAAGCTACGGTTATGATAAATGTATTTAAAACATCCAAAACAAATATTTTTCTTAATATGCTTTGACCAGTTTATACCAGTTTAGACTTAAAAGTTTAAAAGTTAAGCTCACCACCTTGGAAATGTGGACATGTCTCCCTGCAGTAGAAATAACAGACAAGTGAATGATACCTAACCGGTCTTTGGCAGACAGACAGCAGATAGTTGGCAGAAAAGGAAACATTATCATGTCTACAACTGTATTTTATCATAAATGATATGTTTAAAAATTATAGATTCTCCTTGGCGTCCCAGCATTAATATCCCTGTTGGTGATCTGAAGGAGCATCAGTCTGTCACTATAAGCTGCTCAGCTGTGACTCCCTGTCCACACTCACCTCCTGAACTCACCTGGAATCTCCAACAAGACTCTGAGAGACAAACAGAGAAAAACGCAGATGGAACCTTTACAACTAAAATCCAGGAGACCATCACTCTGTCAGACACACATGATGGATACAACATCAGCTGTTCTGCCAGATATCCTGTGAATGGAGGAAGCAAGACAGCAGAGACAGAAGTGACTCTCAGTGTTTCATGTTAGTGATCCTGTCAGCACGTCATGGTTCAGCTGTTTCTGATCAATAAAGTTAATGTGTGTCCCATTTTCCTCAGATGCTCCTAAAGACACCTCAGCATCCATCAGTCCATCAGGTTTGTTGTCAGCAGGTAGCTGGGTGGAGCTGAGCTGCTCCAGCAGAGCCAAGCCTCCTGCCAGCTTCACCTGGTTCAGGAACAGCACAGAAGGACCAATCAAGCTATCTGAAGGAAACTTTTCCAGCATTAATGTTACTATGGGAGGACAACATTACTGTGTGGCTACAAATCCCCTGGGTAATGACACATCACCCATGGCCTGTGTCAGTATTAAAGGTAATTGATGTATTTTTCTTGCTCAGATTTTCCTTTTATATCTTTTGAAGACTTTAGTTCATGAGGCAGTCTAGTGGTAAAGATAGAAATTCATAGTTTAGTCATGATTATATTTCTGTCAAGGTTGGTGGATGTTGTTGATGACCCAAATGCAGAGCAGTAAGAGGCAGAGATGAGTTCTTGCAGATTTAATTTGGAAACCAATGGCAAAAGAAGCTTAACAGTAAACCAAAATCCAGGGGACACCAGGGAAAACACATACGAGGAGTAAGATAATGAGGAGAAACCAGCACTGAGGAACCGTACTAAAGTATATATGGTAAACAGAATAAAGACTGGGCTAATCAGCTAACAGGGAGCAGGTGTGCATGGAATACACTAGGAGCTAGGGGAAAGGACACTGGCACAAGGGGCTAACAGACAGCAACACAGAAAACATCATTGCTAGAAAACTACTTTAATAGCACAAAGGTAAAAGAATGAAAACAATGAGAAAAAAAACACAGAATCACTGTGTGACTGAAAACCTAAAAAGAAATTCAAAGTCCAAAAATGGCACAAATAATGACAATTTCTGCAAATACAGATAATTATAATACATGGACCCTGTAATTTTCTTTGTTAAATATTTTTGTTTATTTAAACTCCCAGATTCTCCTTGGAGTCCCAGCATTAATATCTCTGTTGGTGATCTGAAGGAGCATCAGTCTGTCACTATAAGCTGCTCAGCTGTGACTCCCTGTCCACACTCACCTCCTGAACTCACCTGGAATCTCCAACAAGACTCTGAGAGACAAACAGAGAAAAACACAGATGGAACCTTTACAACTAAAATCCAGGAGACCATCACTCTGTCAGACACACATGATGGATACAACATCAGCTGTTCTGCCAGATATCCTGTGAATGGAGGAAGCAAGACAGCAGAGACAGAAGTGACTCTCAGTGTTTCATGTTAGTGATCCTGTCAGCACGTCATGGTTCAGCTGTTTCTGATCAATAAAGTTAATGTGTGTCCCACTTTCCTCAGATGCTCCTAAAGACACCTCAGCATCCATCAGTCCATCAGGTTTGTTGTCAGCAGGTAGCTGGGTGGAGCTGAGCTGCTCCAGCAGAGCCAAGCCTCCTGCCATCTTATCCTGGTTCAGGAACAGCACAGATGGGCCAAACAAGCTAACTGAAGGAAACTTTTCCAGCATTAATGTTACTATGGGAGGACAACATTACTGTGTGGCTACAAATCCTCTGGGTAATGACACATCACCTATGGCCTGTGTCAATATTAAAGGTAATTGGTGTATTTTTCTTGCTTCAGTTCTCTTATTTATATCTTTTGAAGACTTTAGTTCATGAGGCAGTCTAGTGGTAAAGATAGAAATTCATAGTTTAGTCATTATGATAATATTTCTGTCAAGGTTGGTGGATGTTGTTGATGACCCAAATGCAGAGTAGTAGGAGGCCGAGATGAAATCTTGCAGATTTAATTTGGAAACCAATGGCAACAGAAGCTTAACAGGAAACCAAAATCCAGGAGAAACCAGGGAAAACACACACGAGGAGTAAGATAATGAGGAGAAACCAGCACTGAGGAACCGTACTAAAGTATATATGGTAGACAGAATAAAGACTGGGCTAATCAGCTAACAGGGAGCAGGTGTGCATTGAAGCAACTAGGAGCTAGGGGACAGGACACTGGCGCAAGGGGGCAACAGACAGCAACACAGAAAACAGCATTGCTAGAAAACTACTATAATGGCACAAAGATAAAATAATGAAACCAATGAGAAAAAAAACACAGAATCACTGTGTGACTGAAAACCTAAAAAGAAATCCAAAGTCCAAAAATGGCACAAATAATGACAATTTCTGCAAATACAGATAATTATAATACATGGACCCTGTAATTTTCTTTGTTAAATATTTTTGTTTATTTAAACTCCCAGATTCTCCTTGGAGTCCCAGCATTAATATCCCTGTTGGTGATCTGAAGGAGCATCAGTCTGTTACTATAAGCTGCTCAGCTGTGACTCCCTGTCCACACTCACCTCCTGAACTCACCTGGAATCTCCAACAAGACTCTGAGAGACAAACAGAGAAAAACACAGATGGAACCTTTACAACTAAAATCCAGGAGACCATCACTCTGTCAGACACACATGATGGATACAACATCAGCTGTTCTGCCAGATATCCTGTGAATGGAGGAAGCAAGACAGCAGAGACAGAAGTGACTCTCAGTGTTTCATGTTAGTGATCCTGTCAGCACGTTATGGTTCAGCTGTTTCTGATCAATAAAGTTAATGTGTGTCCCATTTTCCTCAGATGCTCCTAAAGACACCTCAGCATCCATCGGTCCATCATGTTTGGTGTCAGCAGTTAGCTGGGTGGAGCTGAGCTGCTCCAGCAGAGCCAAGCCTCCTGCAAGCTTCACCTGGTTCAGGAACAGCAAACACGGAGCCATTTATGTACAGGTGCTGGTCATAAAATTAGAATATCATGAAAAAGTTGATTGATTTCAGTAATTCCATTTAAAAAGTGAAACTTGTATATTATATTCATACATTACATACAAACTCATATATTTCAGATGTTTATTTTGTTTAATTTTGATGATTACAAATGACAACAAATGAAAATCTCAAATTCATCATATCAGAAAATTAGAATATTGTGAAAACGTTCAAAATTGATGGCCCCTGGTGCCACACTCTAATCAGCTAATTAACTCAAACCACCTGCAAAAGCCTTTAAATGGTCTTTCAGTCTAGTTCTATAGGCTACACAATCATGGGGAAGACTGCTGACTTGACAGTTGTCCAAAAGACGACCATCGACACCTTGCACAAGGAGGGCAAGACACAAAAGGTCATCGCTAAAGAGGCTGGCTGTTCACAGAGCTCAGTGTCCAAGCACATTAATAGAGAGGCGAAGGGAAGGAAAAGATGTGGTCGAAAAAAGTGTACAAGCAAGAGAGATAACCGCACCCTGGAGAGGATTGTGAAACAAAACCCATTCAAAAATGTGGGGGAGATTCACAAAGAGTGGACTGCAGCTGGAGTGAGTGCTTCAAGAACCACCACACACAGACGTATGAAAGACATGGGTTTCTGCTGTCGCATTCCTTGTGTCAAGCCACTCTTGAACCACAGACAGCGTCAGAAGCGTCTTGCCTGGGCTAAAGAGAAACAGGACTGGACTGCTGGTGAGTGGTCCAAAGTCATGTTCTCTGATGAAAGTAAATTTTGCATTTCCTTTGGAAATCAAGGTCCCAGAGTCTGGAGGAAAAGAAGAGAGGCACTTCATCTACGTTGCTTGAAGTCCAGTGTAAAGTTTCCACAGTCAGTGATGGTTTGGGGTGCCATGTCATCTGCTGGTGTTGGTCCATTGTGTTTTCTGAGGTCCAGGGTCAACGCAGCCACATACCAGGAAGTTTTAGAGCACTTCATGCTTCCTGCAGCTGACCAACTTTTTGGAGATGCAGATTTCATTTTCCAACAGGACTTGGCACCTGCACACAGTGCCAAAGCTACCAGTACCTGGTTGAAGGACCATGGTATCCCTGTTCTTAATTGGCCAGCAAACTCTCCTGACCTTAACCCCATAGAAAATCTATGGGGTATTGTGAAGAAGAAGATGCAATACACCAGACCCAACAATTCAGAAGAGCTAAAAGCCACTATTAGAGCAACCTGGGCTATCATAACACCTGAGCAGTGCCACAGACTGATCGACTCCATGCCACGCCGCATTGCTGCAGTAATACAGGCCAAAGGAGGCCCAACTAAATACTGAGTGCTGTACATGCTCATACTTTTCATGTTCATACTTTTCAGTTGGCCAACATTTCTATAAATCCTTTGTTTTTATTGGTCTTCAGTAATATTCTAATTTTCTGATATGATGAATTTGAGATTTTCATTTGTTGTCATTTGTAATCATCAAAATTAAACAAAATAAACATCTGAAATATATGAGTTTGTATGTAATGTATGAATATAATATACAAGTTTCACTTTTTAAATAGAATTACTGAAATCAATCTACTTTTTCATGATATTCTAATTTTATGACCAGCACCTGTATCTGTGGGGCAGGTTTACAGCTTCACTGTTACTGAGGGAGGAGAGTATTACTGTGAGGCTACAAATGATCTGGGGAATCAGAGATCAGCAGTGATCCTTCTTACTTTTAAAGGTAAATTGTTGACGAAGACAAGAGATTTTATTGATTAGTTTTGTTTTGCATTTTTTCAGTTTTCAAAAGTCGTCTTTTTGTAGATTTTCTGCACTACTTCAGGATTTTCATCTTTAAAAAAAACCTTTTTAATCATCATTAAGGTGTTCCTAATTTTCATAAGCAGATATAAAACTATATAATGATTTATAGACATACCAGAAAAGTTAAGCAGACTGTATTGTTACAGATGATCGAGTGTTTGGACTCCATGTTATACTGAAGATCCTGGGAATTATGATGCTCTTAATTGGGATTGTCATCTTTGAATGGTGAGATTTTCTACAGTATAGATACTTTACTGATTCAGTTATAGTTTGGTTTTTAAATTAATATTTGTCTTTTAGCTGGTTCAGATTCTTCAACAAACCAAAGAAGGTAAGCTAACAGCACACATTTTTTCCAACCCAATTCTGTCAGATTCTTAGAGGTAAAACTGCTCAAATAAAATCAAAAACACTGATAAAGATATTTACATTTTTTTTAAAGGTTGAGTTTTCTGTTTAAGTTTGTTTTAAGTTAAAATAGATTGAAACTGTTAAGTTGGAAACCTGAAGTGAACTGATGAAGTGAAGTTCAGAATTTCCCATAATCTATACATGGTCAGTATTCATAGAACATTTACTGACTTCTAGCTTAATTGAAAAACTACAGTAAATCATATTCACTCACACACATCCATAAACTGATTAACAGTATCATTAAGCAGATTTGGGTTTGGAGTCCTGCTCAAAGATTAAGAATCATGACAGCTTTATTAGAAGATACTTTAACATAAGGTGGAACGACGCTGGAATCTAACTTACAACTTACTAATTTTTAGAACAGTATCCTTCCTCACTGAGCTACAGAGTCCCAACTCTTCAAATTATGAATAAATGTCATAGAGTAACTGTGAGATTAAAATCAAAGTAATCATCAGTCTCACCATTTTTAAATATATATATTTTTTCTTTCTCTTTTACAAGATTAGGCTCAGGTAGATTTGATGAAAAGAAGCTAAATCCTTTTTTCCATTTTATGTCCAAAGGAAACAGAAAACCAAATCTATGTCAACACTGTGATGGAGACCAAGACATGATGAGCCACAAGGAGGCCAGAGGGCATCATGCAGCAGGATGATTTCTGATGTCTTTTAATTCATCTATTCTCCGTCTACTGTAATTGTTCGAGTTAAGAGGCTCCTTATTATCTGCTGTGGCCAAAAAGCTTAAAGAATCCTAATCAGTATAAATAAGTAATTTCAAGTACTTATTTTTTTATTCATTTTTGATATTTGTTTCTGCATTTATATTTTTTATACATTTAATTAATGACAATGTTTAGTGGCGTACTAAGTTGTATAGGTTTTATATAAACAGAATTTCTGAAGAATATTAAATTCTTCTTAACAGAATAAAGTAATTGTTTTTTAAAATGAGTTTTCCATTTCGTAACGCCATAAATTGCAAAATTTGAACAGATTTAAAAATGTACGCAAAAAGTATAGAATGTGAGAACCTATTGGCAGCCAGAATTTTACTGTGTCGTAACATTGAGTGAGCCACAGTACTGTTATGTTTTATATGTTTTTTTTTCACATTTTATTTTAAATAAATGAATCTGATATAATTAAAACTGTAATCGGCTGTCTTTTATTGCTGTCAAAGTACTGAGGCATGCAATAGCGTAACGACATAACAAAAGGCCTGTAAGCAACTTTATGTGGGTGGGCAGCATATGAAGTTCAGGATATGGCACAGTACCATAAATCGGCCAAGAAGATACAATTATGCAATTCTGTGAGTAGTATTATAAGTACTATATGATCACACATCACACCCGCAAAAATAGTGACTGCGCAGCTTGAATTGAACCATTGGTGGCACGGACCACCAGATGTTACAAACATCCCAAGTTCCAAAAACTCATTTCAAGGAGATGCTTATCGAACCGGTAACACCCCTCCAGTTACGCATAATTCAAATTTGTAGTGGAAAAAATAAAACACTCAAATACATCGTTATTTTAAGATCTTTATTGCGGTTTGACACATATTATATGAGTGTGTTGTTTTTTTTAACCAACCATCTAATGAACTGTACATGGTTATTAAAAGGGTAATTAAAAGTACTACTGTCTGCTTTGCTATTGGTGTCGTGTTTACCAAACGGCTCACTATCATGTTGAAATCTGGCATGTGTTGCAGTATAAATACGGTCCAGGTGCGGTCAGTGACTTCAGTATCATGTGGGTTTAAGAGGAATACATTTGCAAAGAGATATCCAAGTCTACAACTGAGTAGGGGGCCAGCCAGGAGACAGTGATGGGGCCCCTAAGAAGTTGTGGGCCCGTAAGCAAATGCTGTTGCCACTTATCGATATTTACGCCATTGGATGCATGAAATCCTTACTATACAAGGAGGAAAATTGAGGGGATAAGTATGTTGTTAGCTTAAAAAGGTCAGGACAAACAATAGGCATTACATTTAGAAAAATATGTCTAAGCTTCATTGCATTACTCATCCTCATACAAACGAGCTGCGAAACTAGTCTAGAAAACTGAAAAGCCTCAGTGTCATACCCACTGGGCTGTGTGCACTTATGGCTTTGTTTCTGCTCTCTCCTCCTCTTAGATTAATTTAACTGCCGACCTAATGCCCATCAAACTTGATTAATAGATTTAATAACTTCTCGGATTTTCATCTGTCATTTTTTAGCAGTTAGTAGTTGTACATGGTAAACCAGACTAGACAAATAAATGTTTACCTAACTTTGCAAAAAGGCCATAGTTTAACCAAGAGTGTGAAATGTCATATTTAATGTTGAGCTTAAGACAGCATTGCCAATATCTAGAATAAGAACAGATAATCCATGGTGGTAAAAACAGGTCGAATGTCCATCCATGTTGTTTGGTAGCATCACTGACTGAGTCTGTTAAATCCAATATATCCTGGAACAGTAACTTCTCATAACAATAGATATGAAAATGAGCATTTACACCATTAGAAAAATGTTATATTATGATGCAAAATCTGAACTAGTTTTTTAAAATAAAGGACTTGCATGTGGTATTACTCAGTGGAAATCATATATTTGCATATCTGATGATCCTGAGTAAAGATAGGTCTATAGTGCAGATACATCATGAATTTAGGATTATTGCAGTTCTATAATAGGGTCTGAAAACAAACAGAGTAACTAAGGTAACCAAAGGAAGTTCTTCTAATTTTGCCTATAATTATGTTTGAACCGTTGCTTCTGTTTTTTTCTTTTCTTTTTTTTTCTACTGGGACGTACGACATCACATTTTTCTGCTAAGGAAAACTATAACATTATACTGATTTTTCTATATATGTGAAGTTTTTTTATATCTGAACTTTCAAAATCCAAAGGTTGTTCTGCAAAGTACTGTAAACACACAAATACTCACCTGGTCTTTAAGCAGACAATTGCACACACTGTTTGGTAATACACACATAGATGAGAAGAAGATTCTCTGACATCCTCTTTCACACAAGAAGGAAGTATAACGGCAACATCCCACTTTTACATTACAGCTGCTTTTAAACAGAGAATATAGTTATAAGAGCACGGGTAGCTGACTGAAGCTCATCAATCACCAGGTTTAAAACATATTTCGTCTTTGGATTTAGTTTAATTTGGTAAGAAAATCGAACTCTGTGACTTATTCACTACTTTTTATTCTAAAGCTAATTTAAATAATGTATTATAAGAAAATTAAAAACATTTCATATGATATAATATTTTCTGGAACTTTTCTTACAGTTTCAAGTGTTAAGTAAAAGCGGTTGTAAAAAAGCTAAATGATTAGTGAAGGATGTTTTTAAGTGACTTTTGTTCTCCATATGTCCAGCCTGAGAGATGAAGAAAGATCATCTGAAACTAATGTCAGCTCTGCCTGAGAGCATACTAGCTGTCAGCATTTTACTGAGTGTCTTCTTTCTCCCAGGTGGGCTATTTTTTTTTTTTTATTTCCTTACATTTATGGTTAATAAACTTTCTCTGCAGGAAGATTATGCTCCACATTATTTCCATCATTAGTTTGTTTTTACAGGTGTTTTGGCAGATTGCCGTGGAGCGTCACCAGGCATCTCTATTAATACACCAGCCCTGAATGAGGCACTGAGTGGATCTTGTTTGCAAGTCCCTTGCAGCTTTAAAGAAGAGAATTCCTTTAAAATCAATGAAGTAACTTCTGGAGTGTGGATTAAAAGTCCTAAGGATATCTTCATTACCAACAACGGAGTTAACAAATATCCAATAGAAATTATTGGAAACCTAAGTCAGAAAAACTGCACCACTCTGTTTTCTAATGTTAACACAAGTAACGAAGGCACATACTTCTTCAGAATTGAAATCAGGGGTAACAGGGCTACAGCCTGTGCTGACCCTTTTCAAGTAAAAGTTAAAGGTAAGTTGTTTTCTTTAAAGCAGCGTTAGATTAAGAATAAAATTAAACACTTTTATCCTAGACAGCTACATTACCTTGCGCAACTTTGTTTTTATTGTTGTGCCAGACCTTCCCCCAGCTCTTTTAGTTACTTCAGTTTTGAAAAGCAAGTTAAAAAGGCAACAACCTTAAAATAATTCATACAAAATACAACCCAGAATGATTTAAACAAAAGAACGGTGAATTTATGCATAAGAACAAAGGCATCAGATAACAGTAGCCTTCCAAAAGTGGTGGCTGGTGGCAAATTGAATTAAAAGTTAAAAGTCAAGTTTGATTTGAAACAGAAACATATTAATTAGTCTTTGAACAAAAGCTTCTGTATAAAACTTAAAGGAATTAACAGATTATTTATGTTTATTCTAGAGCTGAATAGCACAGAAATTAAAACTTCTTCTATTCAAACATGAGGGATCAAATTTAATTCAGAACACAGCAGCAACCGGAAATGTATTTTATAACATATTTAAAAAAACTATATAACAAACAAAAGGCCGGAGCAGAAATGTAAGAAACAAATTGGAGCAGCAATTTGGATCAGCTTCAGTTCGTTGAATAATTTTAATGACACCAATAAAGATGCCGTTGATGCAATCTAAGCTGTTAAAACTAAAGGTTTTCAGTCTTAATTTGACAAGATATCTTGTGAAATTTTTCCAGGTTTTTAAGATCAAAGTCATCTGACATAAAATTTAGATCTTTTAGACCCAAATTATTTAGGTCCAAAGCAACATATAGTCACTGTGGCCTTTAACCAATTGAGGCTAGCGGCACCTTCATCTCATTCTTTCAACTTTGGTACAAAAACAATGATTTACTTCTACGCAGGAATAAATTGTGATATATTGACTCATTGTAAAGATACTTAATCATTAAAGTTAATGAACCAATGTTGTATTTCTGACAGAGATACAAACTTGTGCTTCATATAAATTATATAATAGATGTTATAGTCCTCTTTAAAAGTTAGCTTCTTGCTTCATATTTTAAGATGTCCACATTTGTTCTGCTTTTCACCAATAAACAGTGTGATATATTGTTTTATCTTATAGTTAAAGGTGTAAGTTAAAGGTTCCAGACCCCTTTGTATTGACCATCTAGTAATTAATTTTGCCATGTCAAATTTACTGATTTGATTGTTACATTCTAAACACTTTATGAAGAAAGCACCTTCAATGCCTGGGTATAAACTGTATGAGATAATAATTATTATTTTTAAACATGGACTGTTGTTTAAATTGTCTATGGATAGATTCTCCTTGGAGTCCCAGCATTAATATCCCTGTTGGTGATCTGAAGGAGCATCAGTCTGTCAATACAAGCTGCTCAGCTGTGACTCCCTGTCCACACTCACCTCCTGAACTCACCTGGAATCTCCAACAAGACTCTGAGAGACAAACAGAGAAAAACACAGATGGAACTTTTACAACTAAAATCCAAAAGACCATCAGTCTGTCAGATACACATGATGGATACAACATCAGCTGTTCTGCCAGATATCCTGTGAATGGAGGAAACAAGACAGCAGAGACAGAAGTGACTCTCAATGTTTCATGTTAGTGATCCTGTCAGCACGTCATGGTTCAGCTGTTTCTGATCAATAAAGTTAATGTGTGTCCCATTTTCCTCAGATGCTCCTAAAGACACCTCAGCATCCATCAGTCCATCAGGTTTGGTGTCAGCAGGTAGCTGGGTGGAGCTGAGCTGCTCCAGCAGAGCCAAGCCTCCTGCCAGCTTCACCTGGTTCAGGAACAGCAAACATGGAGCCGTTAATGTATCTGTGGGGCAGGTTTACAGCTTCAATGTTACTGAGGGAGGAGAGTTTTACTGTGAGGCTACAAATGATCTGGGGACTCAGAGATCAGCAGTGATCATCCTAGATATTAAAGGTATTTTTTCTGAAAGCTTTTTAAAATTCTGTTTTGTGATCTCAGATGATATTACTAATTATTTCCTTTGTTTGCTTTATTTAAATAACTTGAACCTCATTGGTTTCAGTGGTTATATATATCAGCTCTATGTATTTGCAATTTTCAAAACCCACTTGTATTTTCTTTCTTTTGGCACAGGAAACCATCTATTTTTGACTCTGCTTCTTGCAAGTATTATTGTCATTGTGCTCATCTTATTGATGATAATGATTTGGTAAGTATAGGCAACTAATGCTGTTTATTCAGATCCATAACAATATAAACAGATGAAATTTTCTTATTACCTATTGCTACTGAACACTGTTCTTAAGCAACATGTCTTTCTCTAACTATTTGATAACTTTTAAATTTTAAAAGGCTCTTACTTTAAACCAAACAAGAAAAATCTGTTTTGACAGATATTTCTAAGGTGAAATATTAAATATGAATATATTCTGATTATGGGGAAAACGTATCAAATGTCTGTCAATTCATAGAAAACAAGATGGGGAAGACTCAAAAAAAATTTCTATGATCATGTTTTATTTCTAAAATAAAAAAATAAAAAAGTTATTAACATAAAATTTTTTTTAGTTTCTTCAGCAAATTCCACCAACTTTTAACCAGATCTAGTTTTAATAATGTTTATACTCAAATGCATATTTAGACCAGTCTTGATTTTTCAGACTTTCAGTCTGCGTCTTTTCTTTCAGTCTTTATACTTTCCTCTAAAACACTTGTCTCTAATGTCTTCCAGGTGCTTTAAGTCCAAACGTTCAAATCCAAAACAGACTCAGGTGGGGAACTGTTAGTCTTCTGTTCAAAGCAATACTGCAGCAAGTTCTAATTTGAAGGTGTTTAATAACATCAATATTTTTTTTTTCCAGAATCAAGCAGGTGAAGAGGCTGATGTTGAAAAGGCAGCTGATATACCAGAAGAAGAAATCCATTATGGGCAGGTAAACTTCTGTAAGAAGGAACCAGAAGCTTCTACTGTCTCACTGCAAGGCTGTGGGGAACAGGAAACAGTTTATGCACAAGTCAAAGCATCAAACGCAGGAAACAGCTCAACACGAACTCACGATAGACCAGAGGATCTTTATGCTCAAGTGAATGTAAAAGAACTTCACAGAAATCATACTTAAACCTATCCCCCAAAAAATCTAAGTCAAAGTAGGGTAAAAATATCCATTGTCCTATATAATATGTCAAATGCTCAAATTAAGAAAAGTCCTTTTTATATGCATCAGTTTGATAAATAGCACATCATCGAACTGGAGCTTGCAAGCTCCGGTTGAAGAAAAAAAAAAGAAAAGCTGTCTTGTTACCACACTTCCTCCTTTAACCAGACCCTTGCATAATGTTGGGTTGTCTGTAAAAGCCCACGTTGTCTGTAAAATGTGTTTCCTTTTTTAGACATCACGTTTTAAGCTTTGGACCACAGTCAGTGGCTGGTTAAAGCTTGTTAGACACATGTAGCAAGAAGACGTCATTTTTTTCTGGCAGCCTTGTTTTGAATGTTCTCATTGTTTGGAGTCTGAAAATCTTCCCATTTACACTACCCTTTTGAAACTCTGCCGAGAACGGTTTTAGCAGGGTGAACAAGATAACTGTTAAATGTAAATGGAAGGCAATTGAACGGGACCGTGCCAGACACAACCGAACCGTGCTAAATCTAGCATTAGTTTTGGCTCGGTTCTCTTATATCCAGGAGCACAAGAGCAGACTCAACTCCTATTTACAGTCAGCTGACTCATATCTGTCCGGCTGTACAATTCATAGATCTCTTCACCTGTTCCCAACACAAACTTATTCTCAACCTATTAATGATAAATTACATCGAAAGAGCGTGGTGTGACCTGGAATGATGCCCAGATTGATGCTCTCATTGCACATTTGGCAGAGGACTCTATCTGGGCACACAAGTTCCTGAATGTCAAGGGCGCCGCCATTTTTGTTTTTTTGTGTAATTACCGTCTTGAGAGCTGTGCTATGATGTGTAGATAGTTGTGACAACCAAGCTTAGCATGGTTACCTGATCCAAACGCGGTCTGAACTCGGCACAGATCATTTCAGAGGGCTAGTGTAAATGAGGCAATAGTCTTGGAATAAACTTTTCTTGCAGTGTCCCAGAAAAATTGCGTTATTTTGTCAAGACTTATATAGGTACAACTTTTAACAACCCATAGCTGCATATATAGAATCAGCTCAGAAAATATATCAGAGAAGAGGGAGGCTTTTTGTTAAGTCTCACCGACACCAGGTGTTTGTTAAGCAGGTTTAACAAACTCAGATTAAAATCCTCAACTCTAATTAATCTAGCGTAAGCCCGGGAAGTCTGAGTTTTGGGTTTCACAACGGCTGCTATGAATTAGTTTAATCAACTCTAAGTAGGTCCACTCAGAGTTAAACATGCGTGTAACAAGTATTAAAAACCAATATCAGTGGAGCACCGATTTGACGAGTCACCATGACAACAGGCAACAGGAAGTGTCTATTTCAACCCAATGGAACTAGAGATGTTAATGCGGAATTTAAAAAAATGGTGAATTGTTTAAAAGACAGAGCATTTATTAAAAGCACTCTCCTCTGTGTTGTTCCATTTGTAGATCATGAAAAACTGAACTCTAATAATAGATGTTCTAAATTACGTTTTTGCCAGCATAAACTGAATTTCAGAAAGTAAAAACCTGTACGTGTAAGGATTAAGTTCTATATACCTAGAAATGTTTAGATATTTTAAGTGGCCATTTTGACCTTTATCAGCTTGACTGACTATGTGTTTATGATATCTGACATACATGTCATTCATAGTCAAAATTATACAAATAATGACCAGGAACAATAGGAATATGGAGATCTATAAATCATTTCAAGAAATCCAGAATGTTTATTTTACATGTGAAGAATGTCATTTTGTTTGTCATTAACATTTTCACTGGAAAAAATCTAAATCTATATTAGTCATTTGTTCTTAAAATAAGTGCATTTGTTCTTAAATTGAGAAGGTTAAAGAGACATTTTGCCAATGGAACAAGACAATTTACATTTAAAATAAGAAAGCACAATTATATTGTCTTATTTCAAGTGCATTTTATCTAAACACCTTATTCTAAGTGTAAAAATACTAATTCTATTGGCAAATCATTTCATTTACCTAGTCAAATTAAGGGTAAATACACTTAATTTAAGAAATTTTTACTCTTTTCTAGATTATTTTTCCAGTGTTGACAAGGATTTCTTTTTTTTTTAAATATCAGAAACACATAATCAGTCAAACTAATACATCTCAAAACCTCATTGACATTGACATAGAGTTGTAAACATGAAAACATTAGGGGTTTATCTATTGAATTGTCATGGATCAATATATCTATTTAGGTAAAATCTTTGGGTAGCAGGTTCTCCCCTTGCATATGTGGGTTCTCTCTGGGTACTCCGACTTCCTCCCACATTCTAGAAACCTGACTGTTAGGTTGACTGGCCTCTCTAAATTGGCCTTAGGTGTGAGTGTGTGTGTGCATGGTTGTGAGTTTCCCTGCGATAGACTGACGACCACCCTTGTTGGGAGAAAGGGCACTCATGGAAATCTTTAACCGTTTTAATTTAAGATCACGGCTCTATCATATAGACACATACAAAAATGATGGATGAAATGCAAAATGTTATTTATCTGTTAATTTCATTTTATATTCATTTATTAGCCCAGTTGTTAACCTGATAGTGAAAGCTATGTTTCAGGGTATATGACAGCAAGGATATGTATGTTATATGTATGTTATTATAATTTGGATGTTATTAGCCCAATGCTATCTAAACAATCATGCGACCTACAAAGCTTTGCCTCCTTTGTAACATGTTATATTTTGTAGCATATAATGCATGCTTTATTTTCTTTTAATTCGGAGCAGAAGTGTTAAGAGTTTTTTTTACAGCACAGTATTACCGGTATTCGGTTACTATTGAATGTATTGATAATTAAAGAGTATGCAAAATATGAGCCTCTTTTTGTCTGCCATTCATTTATTAATTCAGTTTGATCTTTAAACTATAAGATTAAAAATGTCAAATGATTATGTCAAAATATTTATTTAAAATAAATTAATCTAACCTAATATTTTTCTTAAAAAAAAAAAATGTTTTTCTGCATTGCATTGCATTTATCTGCTGCTGTACATTTCTGTGCATGTGCTTGTTGGTAGAACAGCTTTAGCATAAGCAGAAATTGCTAAGAATAAAAATTCAACAAGTTTACTGAAAATTAGTTATGATGTGGTAACAGATTTTCATATGAACAAAGAATGATGATAAAATGATTAAATTAATAGGAGCTGAGACATTTTCCACTTTTTCCAGCTGTGGTGAAGCAATGTTTTATTGATGCTCTTCATTATCTCCTGAATGAGCTGGACACAGCTTCAAAATCTCAACACCTGGCTATTATGAGAGGTTTTTATTTTTTTAAATAGATGTCTCAGAAAACACCTACAGGTGCTTGAACCCGGTTACTTAGCTGCTAGCCAATTTTTATCTTTAGGTACCACTTTATGCGTTCCGTATAAATTAATAATGTATGTTGCATCTGTAGTTCTATATCAGTTGCTTGTGCTGTTTTTTTAAATCTCTCTTTGCAGCGATGAAGCAGACTGCTGTTTTGTCAATATCTCTCTTTTCTTTTATCTTTTTTCAACTTTTCTCCCTTTTTTTGTAGTGTCTACATAACATTAATTATTCCCTACATAAACCCTGATAAAAGTATTTACATATATAAATCAAGGAGAGCACTTTGGCGAAAGTGATAATGTTGGGCTCTTTCTGGCATTAGGACAACAACTCGTATTTCCACATTGCCAGATAGGACACACACACAAAAATATGCCCTCCTCAAAACGCACGCACAGATTTCTTTTTTTCTTTTTCAGACAAATCAACTTCAATTTCACTCTTTTGGGTGCAAAAACTATCTGAACCAAACTGGTTCCTACATGAAAAATAGTTTGCCACTTATAGAAATGTATAAATGAATAAGGACTAAACCACATACACAAGAAAGTTTAGGCTCCATCTCATAAACTCAACATAAACCTTATTGCCACCTAAGCTGTAGAAATACTAAAGATCAATCATATAAACCAAATGGGCTGAAAGATTTAAAAAAGCTGCGATTTGAGGAGCTCAGAGAACCTGGGATTCAGCCAAGCATAGATTGTGTTCAAAATCATTATTAAAACAGTTTACAAACCCCTCTTTATATGAAGCAATTAAATAAATAATGTTTGGTTTCCGTGGAATTCTACACAATCTCTGAACATTTTATCTGATATTTTAATAAAGGAAATATGTATTTGTGAAACAATTCTCACTTTCCTTTAATCTACAGGTCTAAAATGTAATAAAGGCAGTAGAGAGAAACCCCTCATAATATGTTCATACAATAGTTTAACTCTAGAAGCATCGATATGCTGCTCCTGTGGTGTTATGACATGTGCTTGTAGAAATAGGAAGGAGGCGGTGAACATTTTTTTTTTTCTTACATTGCATGTCATGTTAATAGCAGGCATATGTAGACAATCTTTACCACACAGATTATGTTGGAAACAAACGTTGCTAAACTCTGAAAAAGGAAGTTTAGTTAACTTCCAAAAACAAGGAACTGCATTCTGGGGCAGTGTTTTTTCAATTTAGTCTTAGTTACAATGACAAAAATCCATTTTTATCTTAGTCAAAATTTTTGTCATTTTTGTCAACATTGTAAATAATAGAACTTCTCCACACACTGCTTTTTTTTAAACATATATATCACACTGTATAGAATAAAAATTCTTCACACAGCTTCTCTTTTTCTGTATTTTATTTATATAACACTGTGCAGAATAGAACTTCACACACTGATTCTCTTTTTAACACATATCACACTGCACACATTGAACCTTTTGTTGGCTTGTTTCATTATATCCACAAAGTCTTCATCCTCAGTGATCCTTGCAGGCAGGCCAGAACGCCCAATCCACTTTGCCACTGGGTTCTACAGGGCTTTCTGCTCTTTGGCGTCAGGTTTTTTTTACGGTGGGGGTACTCCCAAGATCTCTGCAACAGATTTCCTGTCCTTCCCCAACCTCTGATTTGGCTGTGGTGTCACTGTGTCAGGAATCTAGTTAGGAGGAAGAAATGTAAACAATTAATATCCAGTAGAACATCTTTCTTCTATGACCGACAGACAGACAAATACAGGCACAGGAAGGCGCACACACACACCCATACACGCCCCTGCGCACACAAACACACACACCTTCACACACACACACACACACACACACACACACACACACACACACACACACACACACACACACACACACACACACACACACACACACACACACACACACACACACACCCGCACACACACACACACAAAGAAGCTATCCTTCTGAAACCAAGTAGATTTATGCTCAAAGGGATTGTAATGACTAATCTATACACACAAATACAGTTATGTTGTGTCATATGCCATGATCATGGTTTTTGGACATTGGGAAGTGTCCATATTTCATCTTGACATGATGACCAGAGAGGAGGATACAAGTTTGGCTCAGAACTAGTTCTAAGGTCTCTGCATCACCCCCATACCCCCCCACCCCCATCCCCCTTTTTCAGTCACATGGCAAGTCACAGAGGTGACCAACCACCCCCCTCTGTGTGAGGACAGACAAAACCACAGAACACTCTCTTTTCCTTCTCTTTTTCCCGTGCAGCTGCCTGGCGTGAAAAGGCAGCTGAAATGGAGATACGGGCCGAAAAGACCCAGATCTCCAAAATCATCAACAATAAGTCATCATTGTGACCATTTAGAACCAGATTGCTGCAAAACAGACCTTTTGTAACACATTTATCTTGAGTTTCAGAACTTACATAGCCAGACTGGAGAGAAGGCCCCCTAAGGACCCCTGGTGTGAGCCGCTGAGACAAAGAAATCCTTGATTGCTGCTGGCCTGACTG